GCACTCCATCCCTAGCAATTGCCACCCATGTGCCACCTCACCCTCCACTTCACCTTAGCAATTGCTAAACTTTAGCAATGGAGATGGTCTTACATTAGCATGACATCGACATCGCTCTCTCATGGAAAGTCTTTTATCTTTTAATTTTTAACGGATGATTTCACTACCGTTTTAAGTCAAAATTTAATTTTTTGCACAGATAAATCAGATTAATTGTGCTCTTTACAATGATATTTACTTTGATATATTTTTAGAACAAAAAAATTGAGGCATTTTTTACCAGTCAATACCATATGGTATTAAATAGGAGCATATCATATGATAAGAAAGCGTACCATGACGGTATGAAAATACCAAGACTGTAGGAATGTTGAATACATGATAGTAGCAGTATACTAACTGTCATTTACGACTTTCATCATTGTTTATCACAAGTTACCACCCCCATAGCAGATTGGTAAAGTATGGTAATTTTTGGTCGTGTATTTTTTTCACCCAGAAATTTGTAGATCCAATAGATCATGATGAACTCGTTCTTTCTGTGCAAATATTTTCTAAAACGACTAAAAACGAAGAAGTAACCACATGGTATGGAGTTGGTAATGAGAGGTATGGAAAAAAGTTCTTAAAAAATATTAAAAATTGGCCTCATTTTGTAGAGCACAACGAACTCGTTCCATCTGCGCAAAAAAAAAATTTGAAATCCAAGTTAGAACAAAGAAGATAAGGGCCGATTAAGAAAAATAGGAAAAATAAAATGCCTTTAATTCACAATCCTTATATCTGGATTTTCTGAGCTCACTTAGATCTAAAAGCCCATATTTAGTTACTCATAGGTCAGTACCAATGGTTACTGACTGTATCTTCAGCCATAATATCGGGTATTCTTTTATAATCAGATTTAGACCCTTAGATTTGTGTGTGGTCAGAAATGTCAAGATCTAATTAATGATTTTTTTATTTTGACTAGTTTTCTTAATTTACTCTTTTTTCTTTCTAAGTTTGATTTCAATTTTTTTTTTTTCATCAATGGAATAAGTTCGTTGTTATCTACAAAATGAGATCCATTTGCAATATTTTTGACAAAAGAAATTTCATACCACTCAACTCACTTGTTACCCCCTGGTACCACCTTCATTTTTTAACGCGAATTTTGAAAATTATAACACAAATGGAACGATTTCAACGTGATTTATTCGATCTACAAATTTCTGAAAAACAATACAGGATCAAAACGTATCACCATACTACTCTGGTATAGGGTGGCAACAGGTGGTAGGCAATGATGAATGTGGTAAATGATAGTTCGTATATTTAGTGGCGTAGCCATGATTTCGTCTAAGGTGGGTCCACTTAGAATAATAATACACATGATAAAATAGTTTTTGTTAACTTTTGGGCTAATACCACTACAACACCCGAACTATCGACAAAATGCCACTTGTATCCTATTTTATTCAATATTCTATTCATGTCCTCAACTATGATACTTTGTGCCATCTGTATCCTATCAATTTCGTTGACCGTTAAAGATAACGGTTGACCAAACGGTGGTCAACGCCAAGTTGACTTTTGTTGACGTGGCAAAATGCGACTGCCACATAGATGCCACGTCACTGACCTCAGATTTTTTTAATTCAAATTAAATAAAAATTGAGTTAAAATAAAAAAAATCATTGCATCTGTTCCCCAAAATTTTCCCATAAAAAAAAAATTTCCCGGATCGAGAAATCCCTTCCACCTAACAAATCTTCGTTTGTGATTACAGATCTGTTCCCCAAAGTTTCTTTTCTCTCATCCCTCTCCTTATTCTATTATCCACACTTGCCTTCACCATCTCCACCCAGCAATCAGACAGATTCATCTTCCATGGCTTCAGCAATCGAACCAGCAACCAGCAGCAGCTGCTCAGGCTCGACGGAGCTGGAGAGATTCTCACCAACTTCGCCTTTGCCATGGTCCCAAAATCCCCAAATCTCGGCGGCCATGGCCTGGCTTTTTATGCTCACCGGCTGTGGATTTTTCACACGTCGTCGCCAACCAGCACTCGAATAACCAGTTGGTACCCCTAATTCTCCTCCCTGGAATCGGATCTCTCCGATCTGTAATTTTGATGGAGTTGAGGGTGAGAGAAGAGGAAGAAGTTGGGAGCCTGCGAGGAGATTTGGTTCAGATTTAGGTTTTGGAGCGGGAGAGCGGCGACAAGCCATCCGGGGAGAGGAAGTTGGGGTTTCATCGAGGAAGAGAAATTTGATTTTCTTTCTCTTGGTTTGCTTCTGTTGCTTCTTGCTTGTAGGAACTTCGTTTTTGTTCGTATTTGGTGGATTCAGAATCGCTAGGGCAGATTATTTGGTTGTTTGACTACTTCGTTTTGGTTCGATGTTTTGGCGGATTCAGATTTGGTGAATGAGGGAGATGAATTACTGGAGGAGGTGTCGGCGACGCAGACGTCTTGGAGCATGTCGGGGTCGGAGGCGAAGCAAGCGGCGGAGATGGCGGAGAAGACGAGGAGGTAGGAGAGGAGAGCGGTGGGGGCCATGGCAACGCGGTGGTCGGAGGAGGAAGAGAAGCGGCGGAGCTGGCTCTGGCTCTGCTCAGAAGCGGCGAAGAAGTTGCAGAGAGGAAAAAGAGAATTGCTTTAAGTTTTTGTTTTTATTTTTGAAATTTTTTTCTTCTTATTTTAGTAATTTTGGATAGAAAAATAAATAAAATTTTGATTTGAAATTCCACGTCAGATGCCACATCAACGCTGACTAGGATTTTTGTTAAATACTAACGGTCAATGCTGGTCAACACTAACGGAAAAATAGTTCAGGACACAGATGGAATATTGAAAACAGTAGGACACAAATGGCATTTTTCGGATAGTTCGGGTGTTGTAGTGGTATTAGCCCTTAACTTTTTAATCATTCATTATATAATCTTATATTGGAAAATTTCGATAAGTTAAAATAGATTAATAGTCAAAACTATAAAAAATATCCCTATGTAGTTAGTCGTCTCTTTCGAATGGTATTCTTTGTTAAAGAACTATTTAGTATCAATAACTTGAGTTGTTGATAAAAGTTTAATAATAAATCATACACCAAATAAGAATTCATGATTTAGTTAGTTGTTCGCTTTCGAATGATGTTCTTAGTCAATAACAGTTTAATAATAATAACTCGAGTTGTTGGAGAGGTTCAATAATATTATCTTATATTATTTACTAGCATGCTTCCTCATAACAAAGTTAGCTTATACAGAATCGAAGTTTGCAGAAATCTTGATAGTGTGTGCTGAATAAATGAGGTTGCCAAGATTGGAGCACATGACATTTCGATCAACTATTCTCAATTAGAAGCCTCCTAATTTTTTTGTATAAATCAACTATTGTACCTAATTTAACCATTTTCCTTCCCCACCCTATTAAACTCTCCCTCCGTATGTATTCAACAATTATGCACTCTAGTATGTTCATACCACCATGTTATATTTCAGTACCACGTGGTATGATTTTATATAGTACCAAACATTACCACGGCATAGACTAATACTTAATGTCTCAATTTTTGTTTTCCTATATTGGATATCATTTTGAAGAGAAATATTTATATGATTTATCTGTGCAAAAAAAATTTAAATTAAAATGAAAGATATATAGCCAGTTAAAATTTATAGGAAAAATGGTTAGTGGCCTTCCATAAATGGATGTGGCAAGTTATGCATGGTTATTGATCATAAGGTTATTGACGTGAACTGCTCACAGTCCAGGAAGTCTTTTCTATCATGTTTGTTGGTCAAGATAGTTTGCATAACCAATTGTTATGCACCCTTGCATAATCAAATATATTTTCCTAATTTTCTTAATCGACTCTTATCTTATTTGTTCTAACTTGGATTTTGAATATTTTTGCATAGATGGAACAAGTTCGTAGTGATCTATAAAATGAGATCCATTTTCAAAATATTTTGACAAAAAAAAAATTCATACCACTCATTACCACCTTGTATCAGCTTCATTTTTAACTCGAATTATGACATATTGAATTGTGCTTTATCCGTTATTCATGAAATATGTGATTTGATAGTATAAGTCTCTCAAAACTGATGATACCAGCATTTCCTTTTGGGCCATTCATCCATCCATCCATCCTAAACAAATCATGAAAGCAATTTCACAAGCATTCATGCATCCACACATACATATCATTTAGCATCACTATTGTACATTCATCTCATTTAGCAAACATCGAACAATTTAACCATAATAACTCATGATCAAGGATTCTCTATTTTGCTCATCCACACGGAAGAAGTTAACCCTTAAGTACAAGATCTAAGATTATTCTAGAAAAGAGGACGACATCAGAAGAAGGTCCAAGGTACTGGAAGAATTAAAAGAGTAGTTTAACATGCTCTTGAGAATTTTGTTGAAATTTGAAGAAAAGCTAGTGTCTCTAAAGATCATGAACAACAACTCACTCCCATATCATGGAGTGCAGAAAGCATACCAAGAGGCGAGGCTTGATTCGAGGATGATATTAACACTCATAAGCAAATAAATGTCAAGATAATACATCACTAACTATGTATCATCATTTGCAATCATCATGAAGGATAAAGGGTTACTTGCATGTCCACCTATTTGGAACCTTGTGTGATTACTACCAATCTATGGAATGTCTTCACCTAGCATTCACTATGATTCTAAGTGTGCGGTTTGGCTCCTACATTGTAAAGAGCGACCAATCATCACCACACAACCATCATCGATCGTTCCAGAACTTGCTTGTCCGTAATTTGGAAGTTTCTATCTCCATATTTATCGTGAGGGAAATAAATGTGCCGACTACCTTACTAGATGTGATCATTCCATACCCTCGAGTTTTCATGTTATTCTTGTTTTTTTATCATGTTTTGTATAATTTCCTCATGTTCATGTATGACTATCAAGAACTCCTTGAGGCTCTTCTAGTTTTTGAATGAAAGCTGAGTTCACTATTAAAAGAAAAATGAATAAACAATACCCCAATTAATTAATCAAAGCTCGGCAATTGAAGAGAAAAGCTTATCAGCAACGTTCACTCTAGGCTGACATTTGGCCTCCAACGGCCGAGCCTTGACAAGAGTAATAGCGCGACCTTCCGTCATGTCCACCAAATCTTCTCCACTACCAACCTTCTCCCAATCAAAGAACTGAATCAACGACCCAATCGCCAACCCAACCATCTGCACAGCCATGGCTTCTCCCGGACATTTCCTCCTCCCAGCTGAAAACGGCAAGTACTTCCACCCTGCAGCCTGCCCCATTCCTTCAAACCTCTCCGGCCTGAAACTTTCAGGATCGCCCCAAACTTTGGGGTCGTTTTGTATCTCCCAAAGGTTCACCAACATAGTGGTTCGCGGTGGAATGTTGAAACCTCCAACCTTGCACCACTCGGAGGAGGATTCGTGTGGCAACGTTACGGGAAGCGGTGGGTACATACGTAGAGTCTCTTTTATGACATTGCAAAGGTAGGGCAGTTGAGAAATGTCGGATTCCTCAATCAGACGCTCGTTTCCCACTTTGCCGTCGATCTCATTCTGTGCCTTTTTCATCACTTCAGGGTGGTTTAGAAGGAGTGATAGTGCCCATTCCATAGTGTTTGTCATAGTCTCTGTAGCTCCTGTTAACAACACCTGTTGGCCAAAACAAAAGTGCGCAGAGTTAGAACGCTCAATATATGTACACACTTGTTCGCGACTCAGTAGCACTTTGATTGCAAATATACTGAACCTCTGCAGTCCATTCGTGGATGAAATCTCAGATCAAGAATCAGACAATCATTACATTCGGTTTGGTTTGGTCAGGTCCGGTCCAAAAATCAATTTGACCCATTTTTCTTCAATAATTATAAAATTTATAAAACCAAGAAACGGACTGCATTATACTTTGGTTCGGTGCGATCCGGTCCAAATACTAGTTTGGTCTAGTGCAGTTTGGTATAGGACCAGACCATTGCCCACCACTAAATGAACCTTTTCCAAAAACTTGAGTTATTTGGAGGATTTGTTTTTCGATATAGTATCCGATCTTTGGAACTTAAAGATCATCTCTTTTGTTTCCTTTTCTAGATCCCGAATATAAACCTAATCATGAGATTCTAATCGAAAGTTGGGATAGTAAATGATATAAGATTCAATGTTAAACTTCTATTTGGTCATATGTCGAACAGATTTTTGATCGAGAACTAGTTGGTATCAATAAATCAAAATCCTACCTCAAACGTATCCCAAACCCATAATTATAGATCAGAGGAAAGTGGAAACAAAGGAACTTACAAGGATAAGGCTTTTGATGACTTCGTCAGTGTAGAATTCAGGTTCTTTTTCCTGCAGAGCCAACAGAACCTCAACCATCGTTTTCTTCCCTCCCGACATCACTGCACACCCACCACCACCATCTTCTCCATTCCTACAATTATCAATCAACATCTGCATAAACCCATCTCTCCTCACTTGAAAGTCCACTAGCTTCTCCTCTTTCTTCCCAATTCTATCGACCCATCTCAGACTCGGCACGAAATCAGCCAGAAATGTCCAGCTCGCCACTTGCGTAACCTCCGTCGTCAACCCCTGAAATCGCCGCGCTTCCTCAAGATCCGCCACGCTCTCGTCGCCGTAATATCGCTTCCCCGCCATCGTCCTCATCGCCGAATTCAGCACCAGCTCGAAAAGCAGAGTCCTCATATTCACCGGATCAGGGTTTCCGCTCTTCTTCCCATTCAACGCCGCCAGCCAGCGGATCGTTGACTTTACCTCATCGGATCTGACACCGGAAAGGGCCTGGAGGCGGTGATTGGAGAGGAGCTCGGTGGACGCCACTCGCCGGAGGTTCCGCCAGAGGTCGCCGTAAGGAGCCCAGGCCATGGAGGTGAAATTGTAGCCCAGAAGTTTGCCCATCAGGAATCGGGGGCGGTTGGCGAAGGCGACGTCGTTTTGGCCGCCGAGGCATTGTTCGACGAGGGCAGGGGAGGAGATGAGCAGAACCGGGCGCGACCCGAACCGGAAGAAGAGGATCGGGCCGTGGCGGCGGGAGATTTGGGACAGGGTTCTGTAGAGGGGCTTTTTGAGGAGGTAGAGATGGCCAATGATGGGAAGCGAAGGGTATGGGCTTGGTGGGAGGTTTTGGGCCTTGTGAAGGAAGTGTTTGGTGAGAAGATACAGAGCAAGGAAAGTAGCGAAATAGAGAACCAGAGCAGCCATGGATGGATCGGAAAGCGAGCAAGCTACTTGGAGTGTGTTTTTTTTTTCTTTGTTCCTTCTGATACAGAGCAAGTAATACTGTAATATAGTTCTGTTTCTTTTGCAGTTTTGGACCGGAGCTGAGGGAGAATCTTTTGGACCGGGAATATTTGAACATGGGGGAAGACAAGCTGTAGAAAAATTGTTTAATGGACAGAAACGACAGCAGCCTAGAAAAATTATTCATATGACTATATGAGGCGGCCATGGTGGCTCTCGGCCGATAAGTCAATGCATTGGAAGTTTTGATCAAATTCAGATTAGCCCAAAAGCAATTGATTTAACTCATACATGCTACAAGTACAACTAACTGAAACATAAACTTAGAAGTTGAGATGGAGCGGGTATACGCTCTTATAATCAACAAAAGTAATGGGCTCGGACGGGTACCCAATCCAATGCACAACATTGTTGTACATAACCATATTTATTATTATTATTATTATTATTTTATTATTATTTATTTATTTATGAAAGAGTTGCAAAAATAGACTGAATCATTGGTACTTGAAGGCGAGTCAAGAACTTGAATGAGGGAAGAAGCTATGAGCGGCCTGGTTACAGCCTACGGGGTAGATGAGATGCTTGAGAAGAGGGCGGGGGGAAAGAAAGATCTTAACGGCAGAGATCAGGAAGGAAAAGAAACTCAGCATTGTCATTGACGAGGGGTTTTGGGGAAGGTTTTTCCTCTTTGTTTGTTTCTCGAGGAGGGATAGGTTTTGACTGGGTTGGGGTGGGCTATTTTTATGTGGGCTTTGACAATTGGGAGTATGATGTGTCTCTAGGCCTTTGGCTATGAGCTTGTTAGGATTGGGTTGTGTCTAGGGATGACAACTTTGCCCATACCTATGGGTTTCTTACTATCCAACCCAATTGGGTTGGGTATAAAATCCAAATAGATGGATATGGGTAGAGTTTGATGGGTTTGTACCCATACCCATTTACTTTGGGTTGAGTTGGGTTTATATCAAATGGATTTGGGTTTGTACCCACGCCCAAATACAAATTACAGTTTGGTACCCAAACTTAATAGATATGCATATTTAGTACCTAAATTTTTTGTTCATATAAGTCCTCAAAATATCGATGAAAAATTACGTTTTGGTACCTAAATTTTTTTGGTCTTACATTTTGGTACCAAAAACTTCCAAGTTTTACAAATAGGTCCAATTTTTGCATGTGTAGTTAAAACACATCAAGTATATGGATATCTATATCCAACCCATACCCATTTAGATTATGGAAGCAATATTCATACCTTACCCAAACCCATCTATAAACCCTCAAATCCATATGCACTTCACCCATACCCAACCCATTATTAATAGGCCTACTTGGGTTTGGGTATAATTACCCATGGGTGGGTAATTTGCCATCCCTAGTTGAATCCTGTGCGATAGTAGACTCTGGAGTATGGTTGTGGGTGGTAATTTGGAAATCAATTCAGAAGTCGGGAAATTGATTCATTTCATTTGATGTACATGTGTGTATTGATATTAATGCAATTAAAGTTACATAGTCAAGCATGGATGGTTGATCATTCCATACGTGCCTAAGAGAATGACAAGTTGAGTTTTCTATACAACATATGATGATATTATAAATAACATTAATTATAAATGATGAAGGCATCAGATGATTAAGGCATCATAATGCTAAGATACTCGAATAACATAAGCATTACATGGCTAAGGAATCTAATAGTATAAACATCTCATGACGAAGGAATCTAATGGTATAAGCATTGAATAACATAGATAAACAATAGCCAAAGTATCTCATTATATCATACAATGAAGATGCTATAATACATCAATAGACTTCACATCCTTAACAATGAATTTTAACTAAAAATATATAGAAGAGGAGGATGGTACCACCATCAATGATGAATGCATCTCCTTAACTGCACCCTCACATGAATGCAAATTCGGATTTCCCCGAGACAAGTGGCTAATTGCTCGAGTTATACAGAGTGATTTGAGTGAATATTTACAACATACTATGTTCCTTAACCTGACCCTCTATTTATAGTGAAAGAAACAAGGAGTTTATGGGCATTTCCTCCTAAAACGCATCTAGAAGCTTCTTGGTACTACTGCGACTCAGATTGTTGAACTAGAACATGGGCTGGGGACAACGATGGTCACCACCATCATAGGTTTTCCTCCGAATTCAACATGCTTGGCCCACAAGAAACCTCTCTCTTGAATTTTTTTGCACCACTTGATGGGTTCGGCCTAGCAGCAGTTGGCACCATCACATAGCGTTGTGGGTTTCTATGCAGGATTGTGCTGAAATTTATCCAGTGGAATCCTCTTGGGATTTTATGACGACTTCATGAAGCCTTCTGCTTCATTTAGCTTCGTGAAATGGATCCGTGATTTTTGCTTCTTTTAAAGACCCGTAGACTAAGATAAAAATAGAATCGTTTTGACCTAGCTTAAAAAGACGTGAATCGCCTTGATCTTCTAGTAATTGTTCCTCCTCAGCATGTGGAGAACATTGATGTGACGCACGCTCATAATGGTCCATTTTAAGGATAAAAGAAGGGGACGTTACCTAGTACACTACAGAATTGCCCATGGAACACTACGAGTCCATGAGTAAGAAAACTAAGAACTAGGCAGGAAGGATGACCCCCATAAAAGTGCATGGCATCCAAACAAATCCGGATTCCTACATTGTTCCACTAGAACAACAACAAAGGATGGTTGAACAAATTGCCATCTTGCAAGCTCAAGTTGCCTTTGCTAAAGAGTAAGAGAAAAATGTCAAGCAACCTAGTGTGGAATGTGATGCTCTAAATGACTAGTCTAATCAAAAGAAAAATGTAGAAAATATGTCATTTTCCATGATACTCTAATTTCATGTTCAAATAATTGATAGGAGAATAAAGGGTATCGAGCATGGCATATCCAAATCAAAGGAGTTTCAAGATTGCATGAGTACCATGACCAACACACTCAATCTACTACATACCCAAGAGCATCAATCTAAAGAGCTACTTGATAGAGTCAATGATATGATCAATGAAGCTACCGTGGAAGCTACCACCCTGAGAAGTGAAAAGGAGACACTCCAACTCCTTCTGAAGCATCTTGTCATCAAGAGAAGTCAGAAATTCTAGAAGAGATGGACTATTGTTCCAGGGACATTATTAAAATTTCCATGCCCAGTCCCAACGAATCTTCTGGCCCCATGTTGGCCATCAAGAGTGCGCAGGAAGAAGATCTACCTAGCAATCCCAACTTAATAAATTATAGGCTCACAACTCCTTATCCTGCTAGGCTCAATAGAAATAAAGCATAACAAGATGTTGATTTTTACAAATTCATAAAGAAGATTGGGAACATCAATACCATCATACCCTTCATCAAAGCCATTTCAAAAATTTCATAATAAGGAAGATTCATGATGAAGGTGTTGGCCAATGAGGAAAAGATCGGGGATTAATTTCTGCCACACTTGGTGTTGAATGCTGCACTATCCTCCACAAAGGAAGACCTCTAAAGGGCTACCAGATCCAAAAAAATTCTATGACATAGAGGATGATCTTAGTCATTCACTAAATGGGTATCTTGGTTCCAGTAAGTTTCAATCGAACGTTCCCTTTCCAATTTGACTAAAAGATGAAAAAATGCACCAAAATGCTGCCTCTCCGGAATCTTCTAAAGCTGCAAAAGAGGAGGGAGTTGCTAAACTTCTGGATAAACAAGGGGATTTGCCTTCTCGAGATGACCATAGTCATCCCCAATAATCTCTCTATGTCAATCCTGCAGAACCCCTAAGGTTCCCATAGCAGAAAACTTACATTCTGGAGATCTCCGATTCTCCAAAAAAATCCATGGAACCATATGTGGTAAAGATGCAAGACACCAGGCTCAGTGCCCACTTGGAGGTGGTCTATTGGGAATCGATACTAGGATGGTGGCTAACATGAACGAAGAAAATTTTATTTCCATGCACAGTCAGAAAGCATATCATTTGCCTATGCACTCAAAATCTGCATGTGTATCCCTGTAACCGAGGTGAAACATTTTAAACCTTCTGTACTTCTCCTTCAGTTACACATGAAGCCTCTTGATGGCTTACATTTTAGGATAGATGAAGCAGGAGAAAGCGCTCCTAGTAGAGTAACCAAGGATGTTGCTCCTCATATGATACACCAGAAGATGGAATGCAAGGCTTCTGATGCCCCAGATCTCTCTTGATCCCTTTCGATGGATCCATTTGCAACATATCTAGAGAAGTAAGTACCTTTAGTATCTTACCTAACCAATGGATTGAGCTGTTTGGGTTCTCCTTTGAGCTATCAACTCTGTGGAACTCACACGTCACACTATGAACAAGGTGCAAGGTATGCAAGATGGAAGTTCAAGTGACATCCACTCTTTAACAGACCATCACCATGTGCTAGAGAGGCAAGGGCCTATTATCATTCTTCTCTACACCATCGCTGGATTTCAAAGAAGCACTTAGTTGCACACGGCCTTTATTTTGGAATATGTGGCTAGCTCAAAGGCGCAAAAGAAAGTGCACTTCATGGGAGGCAGCTCATTACTAGCATCTAACTTAGAGGCAGAAAATAAAAGTGCTACTGGGAGACAACCTGAATTTCTATGCTTTATCATTTCTTGTGTGATTTTTGTAGTTTCTTTTTGTTTTCTACAATCGATGTTAGCTACTGACTCATACTCTTTCTCAAATTTATCGACATTCGAGGTAACTTTGTTTTACCTTCCCATAATCCTTTGTTTGTTTTAATGAGAATATAGTCCAATTTAAAGTGTGGGATGGGGTTCGCTAGAAGCCTAGAACGATATCTTATGCTATTATATCTTTACTATGTTTATAAATTTTAGAACTCTAGGTATTTTGTATGTGTACAAATGCGCTAATTTTTTAAAAAAATTCTACTATACAACACACTCTCCTATGCATATCCATGCTCACTTACTTTAATTGCCAGTGTCCACAGTAATACATGATCTAAGGAGGCTAGTGTAGTGGCTATAAAGGGTGTCCTCGTCATGAGACGAAACACCACTCTATATGTCTGGATACAGTGCCTCTCGC